CCTCTCTCTTCCCCTCTCCCACCTCCTTTTCCCAGTTTCCCCCAGTTTTGTTAAATAAAGAGTTTCTATTTTTGAACACACATGTCCTTTATTTTGTACATCAGGAAGGGGGGCTAGGGAAGGGTAAGTGGAAGGAGGTGAGGGAGGAATGGAGTACGCACCCCCGATGGGGAGGACTGGGCTGGCTCTGTGGTCTTCTGGGGGTGGAAGCTCTCCTGCAGCCCCCCAATTGCTCCCTCTCCCCAGATGGCAGCCTGCGGCAAGTGCAGCCGGTCTGATGGCCGAGTGCTGTGATGTGCCGAGTGTGGGTACTCTGGGCACTCCAAGCCAGGACTGCTTTGCAAGCGGGGCACCCCTGAGAACTGTCTGTCTGGGGTGGGGGTCGGGTCCCTTTAAGCACAGCCCTTGGCTAGCCTGAGACAGCATCTCCACGCTCTAAGTCCTCCTCTGATGCCCTGCCGGCACTGCTTCCGGCCATCCTTAACCCCGGTTCAAAGGGTCCACTTAATGTGGATATGCTAGTTCGAATTAGCAAAATGCTAATTCGAACTAGTTTTTTAGTCTGGATCCATTAGTTCAAATTAGCTTAGTTCGAATTAACTAATTCGAACTAAGTTAGTTCGAATTAACGTTGTAGTGTAGATGTACCCATATTTCTGCTGCAACTTATGGAGGTGTAAGAACTCTTCAGAAAAAATATACTTGGAAAACATTTAATAATAGAAACAATTAGCTAATTGAATTCTAGGCTCACAAATACCTGTCTACAACCGTTGGATTTTCTTTACTTCTGACCTGAAACCACTTGGGAACCACATACAGCAAAGAGAAGTTGAAAAATCTTTATGGAAGAAAGTCATTCAAGATCTCAGCACCATAAGAGGCAAGAGGCACAAATACAGACAGGAGCTGGACAGTATTTAGCGTGCTGAGGATTTAGAGTTGCGGAAACCTTGTTTTGATTGAAGGGATATTTAAAGTACATCTCTTGCAAAGAATAATAATGAATATTATCTATGCAGCATGGGAGTCATGAAATGTACATGTCCTTGCTTCCATGAGGAAGTAATTTTATGAATATTTACACCTTGGATACATCTACGGCCTGTCCAAATCCTTCGTTGTCCATGGAAAGACCCTCATTGGCAGCAAAAGGCATCAATAAAGTCCTTAGTGCTGACTGAAACTGCAACCAAAAGGCTTAGGGGGTTTGCGCTTTGGTTTTAATTTCTTTAGGAGAACTTGCTGGATGTGGCCATATCCAGAGGCTCTGGCAGAAGAGAAGATGGTTTTGGGTTTGGAGAGATTTCAGAGGAGAGGGAGAGCCAGAGTGTTACAGACAGGCCTGGCCAAGAGGTTGCGGGGCCCAATGAAGTGTGACTGAGCCATATGGCCGCGAGTGAGCAGCCGGGTGGGTGGGGCCAGGAGCTGGACAGCGCGGAGCCCTGAATTCACGGGGCCCAAGCCAACTGCCTCACTCACCTTGTCCAAAGGCCGGGCCTGGTTATGGAGCATCAAAGTGGTAGTGACACACAGATAGCCAAACTATGATTGACCCTGCTCTGACAACACCAGTAAAACACACTCCTCCTTATTGAATGTTAAATATGCACATAGGAGTTTAGGCCAGGATAGCCTGTGTTTGTTTTTGTTTCTAAGAGAGCGTATGGATAGATGTTTGCTTATTTTTAAGCCTGCTACTAATCCTTCCAGTTTGTGGTTTTCAAGAGGGGTTGCTTGTGTCACAAGTTGACTGTTTGGACTGCAATCCCCATGGTATTGCTCCAGACTAGTGTGTTCACGGATCACAAATGGAGAAGTTGGATTTTAAAAAAAGCAACCCTAAAATGCACTTGTCCTATTACATAAAAATCAGAGTGTTAACCAATAAGAACTGCAAAACAGAGAGACCAAGCAGGCTGCTCCCTAAAACAGGGAGGCTGGGTTCACCCCACCTGGCTCTGACCTGGCGCTCTGCAGACTGACTGCTCAGGACCCAGATGGCCCACTGCCCTGCATGGCTCTCTCACCTGCAAGCAGGACGAGGTTACCCCTTCCAAATGTAAATGGCTAGCTTGTAATTTTAAAACCATTTACAATCCATCACACGCAGCCGCCAGGTTTCCAGGCTGATTATTATCATCAAGAACTACAGGAGACCACCCTGGGGTGTCTGTGCTGGGCTCTCTGCTTGACTCTCTCCATGCTGCCCGTGGTTTTAACGTCAGCACCTCTGTCCCACGGCCCCTCACTGGTCTCTGTATAGCTCTGAGGGAGCCATTCTCCACAGAGTGGCTACTCTTAGCTCTGCCTCTCCCGCCCACACCAAAGGCACCTTTGTGTAACCCCACCTGGGAAGTCCACAGCCCCCCAGATTTCCTATCCAATGCCAGCCACTCTGCAACAGGGCCTCGTATAGCCCATCCCAAGAGCAGGATGGGGTTTCCATATATTTAGTGGAAAGCCCCTTTCTTCTCAGTAAACACCTCAGGCCCATCCTCCCCTTGCATCCCCGTCTCTGCTTTCTCTGGCCTGGAAACTGGGAAAGCCTTAGTCGCCATGGCAACAGCTCTCTCCAATATCTGATCTCCTAAATCTCAAACCTGGCTCATCATTCCCTGGTCATAAAAATCACATGACTCCGCCTTCAAAGCCCCAGCTTCATATTACGTTTCCCAGCCAAGGGGTCAGCTTGGCCTGGTTCCTCTCAAATCTCTAGTACCCACATCCCCACTCCCTCAGCACAGAGTTCTCACATTCCCCATTCAAGCTCTGGCTCCTTGGGGCTAAGCACCCCACATTTTTTTCTGTGGGTGCTTGAGCCCCAGAGCACCCATGGAGTCACACTCATGGAATTGTGTGCAGTTAGAATAGGAGAGAGCTAGACAGCCTGGATTTGGAAGTCACATCTGGAGTTACTCCTATTTTATAGCAGTCAGGGTACGTCTAGACTATATAGCATTTCTGGGGAAAAATTTCGGAAAAGCAGATGCATTTTTTCAGCATCTCTGTAAATCTAGATTGACAAGGCAAAAGGGATGCTCTGAAAGAGGGTTTTTTTCCCCGAGATTTGGCCCTGTGTAGAGGGGCCAAATATCAGAAAAGCCTCTTTCGGAAAGAAAGTGGAAAAAGATACTCAAATTGTGATTCGCAATTTGCATATCTTTTTTTGACTTTTCTTTGGACGGTTGACATAGCCTCAGTGTAAAAAGGATCCAAATCAGGAATAAGATCTGAATGAAGTTTGGCCTGATTTTCCATTTCTCTTCTATATAGAGCAGGGAGGGAAAGTGGATGGGGGAAGGTCTAGGTGCCACAGAGCTCCCTGATGAGTGTTACACACTGTACATACAGTCAGTCCCCTCTGTACCATCAACTGTGGGGATCTGTATAATTTACTAGGAATATAGATCTACCCACAGGAACTCATTGAAACTACAGAGCTGGTGTGGACCATGGTCTACACACACCCAGGTATGGAAAACTGTGAGAGGGATGTTTTGGGGTATTTAATTTGAAAAAAGAAAAATACTAAATGCCTCCCTAACAGGAGGCAAACGAGAGAAACAGCCCCTTTGCCTCCCACCAGCATACACAGAGACATACACAGATGCTTCAGCATGATCATCTCAAACCAACTTGTTTTTATTAAATGGAGGTAACCACTCTTATGTGGGGGATACAAGGACTCCCTTCTGGAACTTCTCCAGCTCACAAGGTTCTTTGTGACTTAAACAACAGCACTTCAGGATCTCCTAGAAGCAGGAAATAATTATTTTAGAAGCATAAAGTTGTCTCCCGGATTCTCAGAGATCCTGACTTGACAATCAGAACCACCCTCCTCTGTTTAAAACAAAGAGAGAGATTTTTTTAAAATGTTTTGTTATACAACAGGAATATGAAGCTTGATTGCAAATCAAGAGGCTCCAGTCACTCTGTGGTATGTGAAGGGTTCCTAGTTAATTCCAACACCGAGAATTTATTTTCCCTACTGCAACATTCTGTTACGGAGTTTCCGGAGCGATGTATCTAACTAAACAGGTGAAAAACTATACTGCAGGAAAGCACAAATCACACACACCTTGGACACAGCTGACACTAAACTGATTCATTCACTGATAACTTTATGCTTTCAGAGGAAGAGAAATGCCAAGTCTCCCTGAGGGCTGACTCTTTTCGGGAGGCAGTTGTGTACTAACTCCCAGCTTCACCTCTCCTACCCTAAAGTCTTGTCTCTGGTGTTTTAGTAGATGGGAAAAGTCTCACACCCTCCTAACTGCTTCTTGAGGAGCTTACTTGAGTTAACGATGCAACCAAATTGGGCCTCCTGTACAGTTTATGACAGATACAGCCTGAACGAAACAAGTAAAACAGGAAGGAGAAGGGAATGAAATGCAGCCAAATTAACCTTCTATAGCAACCTTGATGTTTAAAACAATAAAAACACCTGAATAGTGTTCACATTGACAAATATAGTAGCCCAATGTCTGAGAGTCTGTAACGCTGAAATTCTGGCTGTTCCCTCTGGGGGGCGCTGTTGCCTGAAATGCTGGCTGTTCCCTCTGGGTGGCCCGTGCTGCATGGGGAGTGTGGGGCCCCTTTGCCTCCCGCTATGGTGCTTGGCTGACTTCTGCACAAGAGGTTTGCAAGATCAGATGGGCTGCATGCAAGTTAAAAACAAGGATATTTCTTTGGAACTGGGTGTGACTGAAATGATGCTCGTGACAGGGAGCCAAGGCCCAATTTGTCTGCCATTTTGTTTGTTAGATTCCTGGCAGTGAAAGTCATTCAAATAGATCATTGCAAATTCTGACATTTACTGAGTCTTAAAAGTAGCCATTCATCATGGTTTTAAAAGTAGCCATTCATCTACAAAGGAATTTCACAAGCCAGTTATAGAGTGTAGAATTGACATTCATCTGCAAATTTGACTGTTTCTCTAGGCTTGAACAAAGACACTAACTGGATGTTACATTATAAAGCCAGTCTCCCCTGCCTTTAACAACTGCATTTTTATATCAAAAGCAGCCCTCTTAAGTAGCCCCATTAGCACCAGTCCGACAAATGACCGGTACAGTTTTTCTTTTCCTGTTATAACTAATTTGGTTTCTGTTACTTCTACTCCAGCTCATCATCTAATGAAGTGGGTTTTGCCCATGAAAGCTCATGAGACTATATATATATATATATTCTTTTTTAATCATTGTTCACAGGCAAATGTCCCTATTGCACATCCAACACTATCGAGGAAAATGGTCTCTAGAATGAATCAGATCATGGTTATGGTTCTGTTCAGGCCCATTCTACACAAAAGTTTGGTTTCATTTAGCGAAAGGTGTGCTTTTGAGCCAGTCTAATAAGACAAATCCAACCCCCTGTGAGCGTGCTCTTAATTACCTGGTGTACAGGCAGTCCCCGGGTTACATGGATCCGACTTACATCGTATCCTTACTTACAAACGGGGTGAGGCAACCCCGCACTAGCTGCTTCCCCCCAGCAGACCAGGGAGACGCGAGGCTAGTGCCCCCTCCTCCCCCCCAGCAGACTAGGGAGACGCGGAGCGGTTTTTCTCAGCAGACACCTCAGCTTGAGAATAAAGGACTGAGGGAAGTGATGGGTGGGAGAATAAAACTGAGCTCTGGAGAAATGTTTGGCTAGAGTTTCCCCTACAATATGTACCGATTTACATGCAAATTCCGATGCAGAGGAATCTTTCAGTCCTTAAAGAAGCTCAGTACAAACTCTTAGAAATGTAGCCGTGTTAGTCTGGTATAGCTGAAGCAAAATACAGGACTATGTAGCACTTTAAAGACTAATAAGATGGTTTATTAGATGATGAGCTTTCGTGGGCCAGACCCACTTCCTCAAGTGGGTCTGGCCCACGAAAGCTCATCATCTAATAAACCATCTTATTAGTCTTTAAAGTGCTACATAGTCCTGTATTTTGCTTCAGCTATACCAGACTAACACGGCTACATTTCTAAGAGTTTGTACTGAGCTTCTTTAAGGACTGAAAGATTCCTCTGCTCTAAAATGGCTTCCAGTCCTTGATAGACTGGTGCTGTTTTAATTATACAGAAGACTGAGCATTTCTGATAACATGCAGGACTCATGCACTGCTCAGCGTGTGTTATGTGTTCCCTCTGTGCCTGACGTACAGGGTCTGTTAGGGTACGTCTACACTGCATGCTTATTTCAAAATAAGCAATTCCAGATGAAATACTCCAAAATAGCTTATTTCGAAATAGTACATCTACACTACAGGGAAACCTCAAAATTAGTTTGAGGCAGGCTTCCCTAATGTGGACACCCTACCTTGATTTAGAGCCCCAGGAGGCACTGGGGAGTAATTCGTTTGAATGGCCAGGGGAGGAGCTATTTTGAAATACAGCCGGTCCCCGAGTTACGACCACCTCCACTTATGACCATCCACACTTATGACCAAAGTGGTTGTAAATGCAGATCCGAGTTATGAACGGCGATCTGCGCTTACGAACAGCGCAGTCGCCATGTAACTCTATGGGATCCGAGTTACGAACACTTTGAGTTACGGACCGAATGTTGGTCTGTAACTTGTTTGTCACTCGGGGAGCGGCTGTAGCAGCAGTGGCATGTCCACATTACAACTATTTTGCAATAGCTATTTAGAATAGGCATTATTCCTTGTGGAATGACGTTTACAGAAGTCAGAATATGTCGTCCATTATTTTGAAATTATTTTAAAATAATGGAATGGATGTGTAGACTCTCGCATTGTCATTTTGGAATAACAGCTGTTATTCTGAAATAACGCTGCTGTGTAGACGCATTCTTACAGTCCCAGCTAGAGCCTTGCCCTATCACTCAAGCTGTAGAGTCTTGTGCTTTACTTGAGGGCTATGTCTACACTGGCATGATTTTGCTCAAGAACTCTTTTGCAGAAGAGTTATTGTGCAAAAACTCTTCCAGAAGAGAGCATCCACACTGGCATGTGCCTTTGCGCAAGAGATGTGCTTTTGCGCAAGAGCATCCATGCCAGTGTAGATGCTCTCTTGTGCAAGAAAGCTCTGATGACCATTTTAACCATAGGGCTTTCTTGCGCAAGAAATCCATGTTGCGCACGCGGGCTTATTCCTGAGCGGGAGCATCACAGTTCTTGCACAAGAAGCACTGATTTCATACATTAGAACGTCAGTATTCTTGTGCAAGAACTTGTGGCCAGTGTAGACAGGCAGCACGTTTTGGCGCAAAAGCGGCCACTTTGGCGCAAGATCACACCAATGTAGACAGAGCCAAGAGGTTTCTGTTTTAATCCCCAATCCCATGGGCAAGAAATGCCCATCACAATGATGTGTTCTAATGTCCTCCATTCCTCTGCTTTGCACTATCAGCAGCGATCCTCTTAATCTAGCTCCTCATGCACATTAGTATTTCCAGTATCTGGACCCACATACATTCTAGGGAAGACCAGGAAATGCTGAAGTCTGCCTGAACTTTTTACCAGTGCACTAGCCTCTGCTTGAATATTTTTCACTCTGGTTTGTCCTGGAAAGTACTAGCAATTAGAGAGGAAGAGTACTAACACCAAATTTTACACAGACAAAGAACCATTGGCACCTTCATCAGACTTCTTGCTGTGTAGACAATGCCAAAACCAAAATAAACTATTTCGAGTTAATCTACGCAATTGACATAGCTCAAGTTGTGTAGCTTATTTTGGCTTTAGCCTTGCTGTGTAGACGTGTCCTAAATTCTTACTCGTTAGTTCTTTATTACCTGAGTCATTTTTTCCCATTATTTTATTGGGAATTTATGTCATGTTTCAGTAGAGGGAGGTCTAGGTTGGATATTAGGGAAAACTATTTCACTAGCAGGGTGGTGAAGCACTGGAATGGGTTCCCTAGAGAGGCGGTGGAATATCCATCTTTAGAGGTTTTTAAGTACCAGCTTGACAACGCCCTGGCTGGGAAGATTTAGTTGGGGCTGGTCCTGCCTTGGGTAGGGGGCTGGACTTGATGACCTTCTGAGGTCTCTTCCAACACTATGATTCTATGTCAGGCTAACAGGCCTATCATTACCCAGATCATCCCCCCTGCCCTTGTTACCTATAGGCAGAACATTAAAAATCCCTTGGGAGCTCTTAGTAAGGGAAGAATAATTGATTGGTGGGGGTGGGGGAGGAGTGGTTACAATCCTGCTCCACCTCCTCCACATTCAACCCAGTCCTTATACCACCCCCAACACTGAAAACTTCCTTCAGATAACCTCCACCCCCCAATTGCCAATATTCCCAACTCCTAGATGCCGTCCCCCACCCAGCTCCCTGCATTGCCTTCTCAATACACACCCCTAGAATCAAACCATTCGCATCTCACATTTGACCTCCAACAAGCTACAATCACCTGCTGACTGTTACCAAGAGCCTTCCACCAATAGACTACCAGGAACACCAGCTCCGTCTTCCAAACTTCACAACCCTGTGATACATTCCCTCATTGCATTACCACTGCAGGCCCTTTCAATGAGCTACCATTACTCTCTCTGGGTATGTCTACACTACCCTCCTAGTTCGAACTAGGAGGGTAGTGTAGACATACCCGTAGTCTTCTGGAATCTCTCCAACATGCCAAAATGTGTTATCAATGAGCATTGAAACAAAGATCTCTTCACCCAGTTCTTTGAGGATTCCATAATGGAATTATCCAATTCTGTTTTTTTAACAATGTCTATCCCTACTAGATGTTATTAATATCTTCCTTATTTTCTAATGGATAGATAGTAGTCATCATCCGCATGTAATATCAGTACATCATCCTGCTTCTTTCCAAATACAGAACAGAAAAATTTAGTGCCTTATTATAAATAAGGAATTTCTTTTCTTTCTGATATTTTTTTAAAAATGCCTCCTTGTCCTTCACCTTGCCAGTCTGGCAGTTCTAGCCACAGTTCTGTCTGCTTTGTGGAATGCTGAACTTACCAGAGACAGCAAACACCCCAATTACTGCATCTTCCAATCATTGTTGAATCATCGTAGGGACATCTGATATAGAAACATTTGCCCCCCTGGAGTGTGCATCTCAAGTCACGATTCTTAGCCTGTGAGAATTCTGCAGAAAGAAAAAGAGTCATCCTCATTTTTCAGAGCAGCGTTAGTAAGGGCTGTGATGACAGGCATTTCCCATTCACTTACTCCTGGCTAACTCAGCTCCACTATCACCCACTGCAGAAGTTTATCACAGCTTTAGTGCTATTCAAATGATTGGAATTGTGTGCAAATTCAGTGACTGACTCTAAGACGGGAACAAAGTGAGTTAATTAAACTGGACCACTGGTTTTCAGAGATATAATTCTCAACTGTTCAGCCTGAGCATGGCCTCTTTCACTGCCCCCTTGTCTTTAAATAGTGGAAAGCAAGTAGCTGCCCATATCTCCACCTTCCTTTAGTGGCTGCTGCTGTGAGGTTAATTCCTTCTGGCTCTGACAGTGACGTGTCAGGCAGGATCAACAATGTAATCTGGCCAAGTTGGGTTGAACCGGATCAGCACTGGAGCTACATCTAGACTGCAAGCCTCTTTCGAAAGAGGCTTTTTCGAAAGATACTTTTGAAAAAGCTTCTTTCGAAAAAGAAATCTCTTCTTTCGAAAAAGTGAGCCGCTTTTTTGAAAGAGAGCACCCAGGCAGTCTGGATGCTCTCTTTCAAAAAAGCCTGTTTGCATTCAAGAACGCCTTTTTTCAAAAGAGCACTTTCAAAAAAAGGCGTTCTTCCTCGTGAAATGAGGAGTACTGCCGTCGAAAGAAAAGCCGCGTTCTTTCCATTTAATTTTGAAAGAACGTGGCTGTAGTCTAGACGCAGGTGAAGTTTTTTTGGAAAAAAGGCTACTTTTTTTCGAAAAAACCCTGCAATCTAGACTCAGCCTGGGTTGGATGATGCCAATTTTTCGAAAGAAAAGGGTTTGAAAAAGCCCCTTTGGGTTTTAAAGTCTCTCCATGATATTTTTTTTTTCTGAAGACTCATTCTTGGATGACTAATTGCCACGCTTTGGCTATACCTTCAGGGCCAGATGTTTTGAAAATGCAGATCCACAGCCAAAGCTTGTAGAATAATTAGCGTAGATCATTTTTAATTGGAAGGTGTTAGGGAACTGAAAGGGATGCATTGTCATGGCTGCAAACACTGTTTCAGTCAGATGTTATTGCTTCTAGGAACAAAGATAAACACATAGGCTGCATCTACACTGGCATGATTTTGCTCAAATACTTTTAACGGAAAAGTTTTTCTGTTAAAAGTATTTGCACAAGAGAGCGTCTACACTGGCATGTGCTTTTGCACAAAAGCATCTGTGCCAGTGTGGATGCTCTCTTGTTCAAGAAAGCTCCGATGGCCATTTTAGCCATCGGGCTTTCTTGCGCAAGAAATTAACGTTGCCTGTCTACACTGGCCTTTTGCGCAAGAATACTTGCGCAGGAGGGCTTATCCCTGAGTGGGACCGTCAGAGTATTTGCACAAGAAGTACTGATTTTGTACATTAGAATGTCAGTGTTCTTGTGCAAATACTTGTGGCCAGTGTAGCCAGGTAGCAAGATTTTGCCAATGTAGACACAGCCATAGTGGTGGTAGGTTCTGAGAGAGAGTGGGGCTAAGACATTGAGATGAGGTGCTGCCATTTTATAGACCTGGACTCAGTTCCCTGCTCTGTAATCTCTCACTGGGGCATGAGGCCTGACTTTAGAATACAGGTTGTGAAAGGCGCAGAATTACTAACACTAGCCCGCAGCAGAAGTTATTTTGTATGTTATAGTCTTCCAGCTGTCAGCCCTCTGCACCTTCTCCTAGGCCAAAGGTATATTAAACATGGTCAGCATGAGTTCATTTTGTTCAAATTCTATGATCGTCTGTTTCAGGAAAAATACGTGTAGCGCAGGAAAATTGTGGAGTAGTAAAACCAGCAAGTCTCCAAACCATCTGAGGAGAACACTATGAAAATATTTTTCTCCTTACTAATAATACACACTACAGTCAAATCTAAATGATTTTTACGGAGGGCAGAAAAGATACCACTCTGACCTCACGGCAATGCCTCTCATATTTCATGTATAATTACTGAAAAGGTGCTAGAGCTCATAAGAAAACATCAGAAACATGTTTCTAATAGAAAGGGTTAGACAACCTTCATATGCGCTCCTAGATTTCCTTCTGTATCATCCCTGTAGCATCCCTTGTTTTCATTTACGTCTTACCTGGCGCACCCTGGAGCACCAGAAAGAAGACTGCAAAGAGCAGATAAAGGATCTTCATGGCTGAAGGTTGTCCAGAAACTCAGTGTTGCTGGAGAGAAGAGACACAAAGACATTGAAGATACAGACTCCTTATATTTATTGCTCATGGGAAAAGAGTGAGCTTTAGAAATGTTATTATAATCCAAATTACATTTATTTTTTCTGCAGTCTCTCAAGAACAATGATTGTTAGCAATACAGCTTGAAAGTAAAACAGGAGGAGTTCATAGAACTACAATTGTGAGGCAAAATTAATTTTTGTAATTAATTTTAATTTTCAATTTTTTAAAATAAGATTTCCTATGGTAATTGGAAATGTGCTAATATACAGAATGCAGAGTTATTGCACATTCCCTATTTTATTAGCCGAAATAGAATGGAAAGCAATTGAAAAATTAGAGAAAGCAAAAGGAGGTTTGTTGGGTATTCA